CGTAGCTCAAAAAGGTAAGGCGACCGGTAGACGCCGTGGCTGTCTCTTATACACATCTAGATGTGTATAAGAGACAGATGCTCCTCCATGGGAGAAAGCGGGTCTCACTGAGGACGTGTGGAGAGATCGGCACACGCGGCAGACTTGCATTCGTTGTGGCCAATACGGCCATAACCAGTTCAAGTGTCGAAACAAGAAGGTGATCGAAAAGATCCCGCCTAGGATGGGGCAGGCGTCGGGATCCTCCACTCCCGTTGGTAGCAATGTGGCCAGCAGTTCTGGCACTGCTCCGGGAAACACATCAGGCCAGTAGGAATAGTAGTTGTTCCTGCTAGGGTCGAGGTGGTGGACACACCCTCACCATCTCGAAAGGTGGCCCAAGCTACTGACTCCATCGTCGTCCCGCAAACACACTCTGACCCATCGAGCCTTTGTTCGATGAATGTGTTTGAATCATTAGAGGAGCTAGAGGAGGACTGGTCCAGATCAGACCCACTAGCTTCTTGGACGGCATTGGCAAAAGCCCCCAAGGGAGAGATGTTCTTCGACGAGGTGGTCATTGGCGGCCGCAAGGCCGGGGCCTATTATGACACTTGTTCGACTAGGAACTTCATTAGTCGCGCGTGCGTTGAGAGGCTGCGTTTACAGGGGCGAGTGCAGCGCCTGAGTCGACCAGTGGAGTCGACCTGTGCCAACAAATAGCCCATGGTAGTCAACGACTACCTCCAGGATGTTGAGTGTTGTTTCCCGTACGCAGGATATCTTGTTACGTATATATTACCTCTCCGTGACACAGCCCCAGTTTGACTGGGACCGAAAAGTGGTCAAACACACTTTGGCAGGTGGAGGGACCGCCGGATTACGTAAGTTCAAAGCTAGTAGTCTGATTGAGTCCCACGGATGCACGTGTGCGGCCGCGTTCTATAATTATTATAAGCAAAATCCGGAGGAGGCTATGTATCTAATCTATGTCTCTGCAGCAAGCAAACCGGTGAAAATGTCGTCGGAGATAGAGGGAGTAGTTGCTAAGTACCCTGATCTATTTGAAGAGCCGACAGGGATTGTTGAGAGGGAGGTCGTCCACGTGATAGAGATTATCCCAGGGTCTAGCATCCCAAAAGGTAGGATCTATCGGATGTCTCTAGGCGAGCTTGATGAGCTTCGCCGACAACTCAAGGAACTCGTAGAAAAGGGTTGGATCCGGCCGAGTGTTTCTCCTTATGGTTCACCAGTCCTATTTGTACTGAAGAAAAAGGAAGGAACACTTGGGATGTGCATTGATTATAGGGGCCTCAATGCCATCACCGTCAAGAACAGAGAGCCCCTACCGCACATCGATGACTTGCTAGATAGAGTGCAAGGGTGTGAAGTCCGGGTACCATCAGATTGCAATCCAGCCCGAGGATCAACACAAAACCGCATTTCAAACCAGGTACGATCTGTACGAGTTTGTGGTGATGCCTTTCGGCCTTTGCAATGCTCCCGACACCTTTCAGCACGCTATGAATCGGATATTCCATGACTACTTGGATAAGTTTGCCATCATGTACCCCAACGACATACTTATTGTCAGTAAGACTGTCGAGGAGCACGTTGCACATTTGGACAAGGTCCTTAGTCTTTTTCAACATCACAAGTTCAAGATCAACGGTGAGACGTGCGAGTTTGGCCGCACCCGTGGCTTGTACTTGGGTCATGAGATTTCCGTGGAGGGATTGAAGCCCGATGACGCGAAGGTGGCCAGCATTCGTGACTGGCCCATCCTCACTCTGTGACTGAGATGAGGTCTTTCTTAGGGACGACCGGCTACTATCGCAACTTTGTGAAGAATTATAGCGTAGTTGTCGCCCCTTTGACTGACATGACCCGCCTTGACACCCCATGGGAGTGGACAGACAGGTGAGAGGCTGCTTTCAAATATCTGAAGCATGTGTTGACGCATCACGAGGTCTTGAAACTTCCTCATCCTGACAAGCCTTTCGTAGTAACTACGGATGCTAGCCAATATGGCATAGGCGCCGTACTTGCGCAGCAGGAGGGGAAAAAGTTGAGGTCGGTAGAGTACATGTCCAAAAAGATGCCCTCTCATAAGTTGGCTAAGTCCACCTATGAGAAGGAACTCTATGCGATCTTCAAGGCGCTCACCCATTGGAAACATTATCTCCTTAGGAGGTTCTTCTACGTCAGGACTGATCACCAGACCCTGAAGTGGATGAGAACCCCGCCTGTGCTCTCTGGCACTTTGAAGCGTTGGATTGAAGTCATAGAGCAGCATGACTTTGAGCCCCAGTACGTCAAGGGCGAGTACCACAAGGTTGCTGATGCGCTGTCGCGTAGACCAGATTTCTCTAGTGCGCTGATCACTGAGTTTGGGCTTGCGGACGATGTTACTCAATCTATGGTGGAAGCCTATCGCGAGGACCAGTTTGTCTGAGATCATACGCAGACTCGCGACGAAGGACAAAGCGACGTCTGCCGAGTTTGAATTGGTCAACGGACTGCTGTTCCTGGAGAAGGCAGGGAATGAACGTTTGTGTGTGTCAGATAGGGAGTCTTTGCATAGTTTATTTTTAGGCGAGTCTCATGATGCCACGGGACATTTTGGTTTCAAAAAGACTGCAGCCAATCTGCTGCAGCGGTTCTGGTGGCCCACGATGATGAGAGATGCGAAGCTGTACGTGGAAACTTGTCAGGTCTGTCAGAGGGACAAGCCACGTACATAGGCTCCTCTTGGGCTTTCGAAGCCCCTTCCGATTTCGGAAAGGCCTGGTGAAAGCCTGTCCATGGACTTCATGGATACGCTGGTCACCAGCAAGAGCGGAATGAGACACATCTTTGTTATCGTGGATAGGTTTAGTAAGTACGCTAGGTTAGTTGCAATGCCGGAGACAGCGAAGACTGAGCATGTGATTAAGTTATTCAAAGAAAACTGGGTTAGAGATTTTGGATTGCCAAAATCTATAGTCAGTGACCGTGATGTGTGATTCACAAGTGAACTGTGGAAAGTCGCAGCTGCAGAACAGGGAACGCAGCTGCAGATGACGTCAGGAAACCATCCCGAGGCGAATGGACAAGCAACATCAAGCCAAATCAGGTAGACTGGGATGAGAAACTTGCTCTCGTTGCCAGGCTGTACAACAACGCGGTCCACAACGCAACGGGCGTGAGCCCGAATAGTCTCTGCTATTAACCTTAAGCCTAGACTGCCCTTGGATTTCATATTACTTGAGAACCAGCCCTCTGCTGCACCAGGGACTTTAGAGTTTGCTTATCGATATGAGCAGCTGATACAACAGGCTGTTGAACAGATGCACAAGGCACAGGCGGCGATGATAGAGTCTGAGAACAAACACCATCACCCATCCACGTTCCGGGTAGGAGAGAGAGTCTGGGTCAAGTCCTCAGAACAGGGACAGGAGCACGGCATCTCCCGCAAGCTCATGCCACAGTACTTTGAACCATGGGAGATTCTGGATGTTGTTAGGAATGAACTGGATGGGCCGTCTTATGTTATACACATCCCTGGTCACTTACGTACGTACCCTGTTTTTCACGCTTCTAAGCTTGCACCATTCAAAGAAACTGACCAGTTTCCCTCTCGTCGCTCTATGCTGCCCCCAACCACGGATGGAGAGGTCGACATCGACGACATCGACGACATCGTTGACCACAGGGAGATGCCAGTTCCAAGACCAACAGGCAGAGGACGTCCTCCAAAACCGAAGCTGTAGTATCGAGTTCGGTTCAGACATCACACTGATCCCAAGGAGGACAGATGGTTCACAAGGGAGGAACTGATGCAGACCGCTCCACAGGTAGTCGCTCACTATGAGAAGTCTCTACGGAAAGGAAACCGCCAGATTATCGAAGACTGAACTTCTCAGAGGACTAGCGAAGTATGGAGGAGGGAATGCGAGGCACAAGGCCTCGATAAGCCCTACTGGACTCCTATTTGCAACAGCGTCGGCCACCCTAAGAGAAGGCAGGCCCGGCGGACCTTAAGAGGCCTATTTTGGACTACTTCGCAACTGGGGAAAATCCAGGCAGTTGCGCAGCGCCAGTTGGTTGGAAGCGCCCAGGCCCTGGTTCCTTGTATCAAATGCATCTGAGTCAGGCCCAGGGCGAGATTCGCAGCATAGGCCCAACTGAGGCTGTGGGCAGTTGGGCACAGGTAACTGTCGGTGGCCCTGGGCCAATTCGTTTTGTCTGAGGCTCAGCCTCCTTGGTCCTACCGGAAGCTTCTGGGCAGAGGCCCAGCACAGCCAAGCTGCACGCACGCAGGCTGGCCATTTTCCATATAGGAAAGGGCCAGCCCACGCTGGAGGCATTCGGGCACTGGCTGCATGCCGCGCTAACGCTGGCCAGGCTCACGCGCTCACGGGCGAGCAGGAAGGAGCAGGCAGCCATAGCCGAGCTGCGCTGCTGTATACTGGATGGGGCGCATGGTGGTCCTTGGGTTCAAGTGGCATCTGTGTGTGAGTTGGGGAACGAGGTTATGAGTGATACGAGAGACATACCTGGTGCTTGAGGCGACGGCATTGTCCGAGATCTGCTTGTACTTCGGTGAAGCTGTTGACGTCATCCGGCAGCATTGTAGAGTAGGCTAGATAGGATCTGCCATCTGTAGTCTGGGTGCCGAGTGCCAGATAGGATATCAACATTGGTTCTTCGTTGATGATGATGAGACCATTCCAGCATTGTCAATTATGAGCTCTTGGTGTGTTCTTATTTGGTGAAACTTGTGGTGCAATTCTACTTTTGGTTTGAGGTCACGACTATCTAGTCTCATGTGTATGATGTTGTTTGACATCTTCCTTGCAAATGAATGGTCACGATGACAAAGAGTGGATGGTCTACCAATGGGTCTGAGCTCAGTTGGTACATCCCCCCTGAACTGAACTGTCGAAATACAGACATGAGTTCAAACTCCACTGGAAGCAGATCAGTAAAATACGGCTGTGCCATTCTGACGTGCCTATGGCCGATCAGGCCAAATGATGATATCGGCACCCTTTTCATTGAAAAAAAAGAGGAGGAATGAATGGTCATAAATTCATAATGTCACAGAATGAAGAGTGGCATACGCAAAGTCCATCAACTCAATCAACTGATGAGAACTGAGCCCTGCCTGCACAGAGCAATCACCATGACAAACCACATTAGCCATGTGTGCCGGCAAAGCGGCTATGTCAGCAAAGAGCATGTTTTACAATAGCTGCAAGCAATCTGTGGAAGACAAGCGGGATGCATATACAGCAAGAGGAGATGCAGTGCAGCCCCACCATACTGATATATAAGAGAGAGAGAGAGAGAGAGAGAGAGAGAGAGAGAGAGAGAGAGAGAGAGAGAGAGAGAGAGAGAGAGAGAGCATATACAGCAAGAAGACGAGATGTGACACAGCCTCACCATACTGATATAAAATAGAAGAGGAGATGTGATGCAGCCTCACCATACTGATATATATACATATATATATATATATATAGAGAGAGAGAGAATGCAGAGAGACACAAGGGTGAGGGGCTCAGAGAACGCAGCAAGAGATGGGCACAGGCACAAGAAACAGCAAGTAAATGTAGAGAAAAATCATCATAATACATATTCTGGACAAACCATATAATGCGAGAGCGACAACCCCGGCAGTTATTATTCCTTCATCAGCCTGCCAGACGACTCACTTACGAGGCGTTTACGACAGTGCATCCCGGGTGACGGACCTAGAAAAGAACCCCCAATAGACTCGATTCGATCACCAAACAAACGAGTGAATGACCAACCATACGGAGACTACACTCCCGGCACACCCATCGATGTTTATCGATGCCTCCCGCCCTCGACGTTGCCTCAAGAGTTAAAACCCTTATGAGCGCAATATTGATGAGGACAGACCTAATTTTTACCACAAACTCTTTGAACATGATGACATCGATAATTTCTTATCATCAGTAGTGGCAACAGATAACACTAGAAAAAAGAGAGCGCATTAAACCCTAGAAAAAATCGGATAACAGTAGGAGCGCGTTAAACCCTAGAAAAATTGGATAACCCTAGAAAAAAATCGGATAACGAAATGAAGGAGGAGCCGAAGAACCACTTACCCACATTTTTTGCCGCTTCGCGTCCAATGCTCTTTCGCCTACCGCCTCGTCGCCACCTTTGGCTATTCAATGCCATCGCCCGCGAACTGTACCAGATGGCAGGCAGGCATCCGTCCATCACTAGAGCTATACAGTGTATACACCCACCCCCACTGCTGACTCACCAAAATCCCATCACCTTGCGACCATAATCGACGGCAGGCAGGCATCCCTCCATCCATCACTACAGCTATACACCCCACCACCACCTCTGATCCAAAATCCCATCACCCTCCGACCTTGATCAACTGCAGGCAGCAGGTACTATTTTTTTGCCATATAGTGTGCCAGCCATCCGTTCATTATCATCATCTTCTTCTTCTTCTTCTTCTTCTTCTCCTCCTTTGACGAAACAACATCACCACCATAGCCAAGATTCACCACGTCCAAGTGAGTGCGAGTGGGTCGCAACGCAAAGCCCAGGCCGGGGTGTGCCGTGCCACCCGTTTCGCTTCCTCTGATTCATAACCCGAAGAAAGAAAAGAAATCGCCGAAAGCCCTCACGCTTCCGGACCATGGTGTTTCTTCCCAATACTACCAAAGACACGGCTGTCCTTCCGACGCTACGAGCGTGCTAAGTGTGCGGCGCCATTACATTCCAAGGGACAAACCGTTCCTCCAATTCTATTTACACATATACACACCGACAGCTGACCATCCTCTCAAACAAAGAAAACGTGCCTCTTCTCATCGTACACCTACCAGCGTCATCCGATCCCTCTGCCTGCTGAGCCAGAGGTGCAATCTCTCTCTCTCTCTCTCTCTCTCTCTCTCTCTCTCTCTCTCTCTCTCTCTCTCTCTCTCTCTCTCCTCCCCCCACAAAAAAAGAAAAAAACACATATATGCACCTGTTTGCCTGCAATAGAAATCTCCTACTCCATGCAGGGCCACAATCTCCTGTGTCATGTAAGTTTCTGGCAATCGCTTCACGTCCCTCCGTCCCAGCTCCAAGAGAACGCACCTGCCTTGGGCACTTCGTTTCTCCTGCTGCTCGTGAAGCTGTGCACAGGTGGAAGCCAGCTTCGGCAATCGCCATGCAGTCGGGTGAGTCAAAAATCCAATGAAGAAGGAGCCGAGCAGGTGTTCCCACAAGCTGAGATGCATCCCCTGCGGTGACCCGTCCACAGAAAGACAACGCTGTGCACTAACCACTTGGCCAGAAAGGACTTCGGCTCCACTTCCCCTCTTCCACAAGTCCTCCAAATCGCTAAACAGACAGCCGGCCCAGTTGAACTGCCAACCAAACCCCCTGGCAAACGGAGAAGGCTTTGCTTCAAAAATAGCTGCGCCTGCGTCCTCGGCAGGCATACAGTCAGTCATATAGCAGCCTGCAGCCAAACTATATTTTTCTTCTCATCTGATTACATCTGGATTCGAACACTTCGGTCTGTATTCCAACAATTCGTGGGAGTACCAACTACGCTACGTAGGCCCGTTGGTGCCTGCGGCCAAACTAAATTAACAGCACCAGCAAAACTCTATCGTCCATTCTTCCACGAAATCCAGCGTCCCTCTGCTTTTTTTTTGTGCAGGGCAGCCCACATCAAACTGCCGTGGCCTCGACTCGAAAGGAAATGGGCAGCACCACTCCAAAACACCATCATATCCATCCTTCACAAAATCCACCCACTCTCCCTCCCATCATGCACACCCATCCCAGATTGACTACAGACTGCAGAAGCGAAATATATCTTATAGCCTCTATGTAGAGGCAATCTCCGTTTTCGTCACACGCAGCAACAATCGCAGTAGTAGTCGCCAAAAACGTCCAAAACGCAGCTGCAATTCCAATCGTTGGCAGGAAAATTGACAAACCCGCACAGTCGTTTCGCAAGAAGAACACCCCCCTGCGACGACGCCGAGAGAGAAGCAGAAGAGCAAACAGGAGCGAGCGACAAAAGCTGAAAGCATCGTTTCTCATTTCTCCTGTTAAACCACTGCAGAACCTGGACGTTTTTAGGTCGTTAACGCGGTGGCCGAATCAGTGCGCCGCGCAGGTCCATATGCATTTACGTCAGAGCCTCCCCAGAGGGGGCCTACCCCCCTCCTTGGGTACTGGGGGCTTAAACCACCACCCCCAACGGGGCCCCTGCACTGTTCATTTTTCTTGTCTACAGGTACCAGGTCAAATTCCACAGGGCCCAGGCTCAGGACCACCACTACTTTTCCTTCCTTAGGGCGGCACTACACTATAGATCTCAAGGCTCGGGGGGGGAATGCAGCCCCTTGGTTTGTCGAATTAGGGCCTTAAGATGGAGTGGAGTGGTGGTTTAACGCACTGAACAGGACTCGGGAGGAAGGTCTGAAGCAATCACAGACTGAATAGCTTCTTCGCTACGACTAGGCGCTCAAAAACATCCTATAAACCCTTTAACGCATCGAATCGAAGACGGGAACTGAGCATTTGCAGAGCACATCCTATACACTGTAACGCATCGTCGGCATCGAAGACGAGACTGAGCATTTGCGGAGCGCCCCCGAATGAGCGAGAAGTTCGCCAAGAACCCATCTATCCAGGCTAGAAGTGCTCACGAGTCAAAATTCCTCGAGAGTAGACATCCTGCACGCAAATGCTTAAGGCTTCGAACAGCTGCCAGGAAGATCGATCGCCTTCGCCACTGGACAGACCACCACAATGCAGTCCCCAACCTGCAGCAAATGTCATGCTATCGTGCCTAACATTTCCTTTCAGATCAAGGCAACAAACAACATCATCGGATTATCCACATCACTAGTGCTGCCTTGTACTTCACGGCAGATCGAAACCATCGCGAGCAACAACAGGTGCATATGTGAGTGCTACTGTCTTGCTCTACCGGGCATAACTGCTAGCTCCACCATGACATTTGTTGCACATGGACGCAACGGATGACAGTGCAGCCACCAGCTAGTGCAAGCTCACATGCCGCTGCAAAAAATTGCAGAGACGAAAAACAGCGTATCGGCTACCTCTGCCACAACGTTTGGCGCCAAACGGATGCAACGAACGATAATGGTGGCACCAGCTAGCGCAAGATTACACGTCGCTGCAAATTGAAGTGCTGAAAAACAGTGAATCTGCCACCTCTGCCACGACGTTTGCAGCAAACAGATGAAACGGATGACAATGTGGGCACCAGCTAGATAAAGCTCACACTTCACACTTCACTGCAAGTTGAAGCGACGAAAAACAGCACAGGTGCATCAGCCGGCGCCCACCTCGAACTTCGCTACAGATTGACACAATGCCGAGAAACCGGCGTCTGCACTAATGTGATGATACCCAGTTCCTGTATGAGGTTGTACCTATCCGCGGCTACAATTCCGCTAGCTCTGTGAAACAGTTCGCCGCAAATCGAAGCACTAAACAACAACAACGGGCGCATCTCTGCTCGTGCTTCTCCCGTACTGTGCTGCAAATACTTGCAACATACAACTACCTTTTCCCGGTGGCTCGCAACCACACAACACAGTCAAAAAGGGGAATCGCGCCATCACCTCTCCCCTCCATGTCAGATCATTGCTCATCGTTCTCGGCTAAAAGAGGACTAGAGAACTACAAATGCCCAACACACACTCACTCCTTTACTCGGGGTGGTCGACGTTTTCCTGACAACTCAATTCGTGCAAGACAAGACCAGACAAGATAAGACAATGCTCCTCGTTCGTCGGTGTCCCTCAAACAACAATTTCGTCCCGGCAAACTGGACATATGCCCTGCTGGGAAAGCCACTTGTCGACACAGTCCTTGTGAAATGCATGTGCACAATTCGGCAGCACCCTTACCATCTCCCCTTTCACCATATCCTGGAATGCAAGTAGATAGTAGATACACAACAACCATTCAAAGTTGGCACAAGAAATAGGGTTAGGTGAACTTAGTTCCAAGGTCTACATGTGACCATGAAACATTCCTTAGACACTTAAATCATGTCTGCAATTTGTGGCATCATCAAAGGCCAAGGTGGACATAGAGAATTTAAATTCCCTGTTATACTAAGTGTTATTAGAGCAGGATTCTGCAACACAGAATCAATAGTGTTTATGAGATTTCCAATCAAGGATTGAGGCCAGTTCACATCAATTTAAGTCGCACAGAATCACATAATAATACACACACACACACACACACACACACACACACACGACACCCACTCCCACCCCCACCCCCACCCACACCTACAAACACACATGCACACGTCCACAGACACACATACACACACACATAACACACCAACACACACAAAATGAACAGCCTGACACGTACCAATCAACTAAAAGAGTGCACTTTGTGACACCAACGAAGAAAAGTGCATGCAGCACCAGCCACACCGAAACCGTTCTTTTCGCCTTTTCCTGTGCAGCTCTTTCTTTTTCTTAATCTCAAGTGCAAGGCTCGCGTGTCTCAGATATGCAAGGTGCACCATGTTGATCTGGTTCCGTTCAATGTGGTGTCCACGCCACCATCTTTTGTAACAGCACACTTGCACGCTGGAGAAACGAGGACAGGGTAATGGCCGACAGGTAAGGAGGGACAGACAGGAAAGACACAGCAAGAAGTGAACACAGAAGGAAAGTAAGAATTGTGGACTAGAGATGACATTGTAGGGGGAAGTAAGTATGACTGAGAGTCATCAGTCAGTTTGTGGGCGGGGCTGAAGTAGGGGAGGGGGGGAGGGGGAGAGGGAGGGGGGCGAAAGAGGTGGCATGCATGGTAGGGATGTCGTGGATGATGACATGAAAGACCTACCGTCTTCGGCCGAATAGAACGCTTGGTTGCTGTAGCTGTATTTGGGGCAACTTGCAGTCTACATACAGCAATAAGGACCGCGAGTTCTATTCGGATGAAGACGGTGGCCGACAGACGGTTCTTGGCACAAACACTTAGGACAACGGCTGACATCACAACCGCTGACATTAACCATGCCTCCCGACAAACTCTCCCGACAAACGGAGCAAATCGACGCTGGCCAGGACGAAAGAACAGCAAGCACATAACACGGAGACACGCATTCACAACGACTCTGGCCACGCAAGAAATAGACATGCAATGTCCAGGCATGGAGATTGTTCAAGTTAGAAAAACAAGAGAGGGACAGCTGTCTGCACATGCGCCTGGACCTGGTCTCCAGCAGGTGCCAGGTGCAGCTCCCCTGCCAATAATTTTCAATCGACAGTTCAAAACAGAAAAAAGGAGAGATGGTGTGAAAAGCTTATGACAGTCATGTTGAGGTTTCCAGAAACCTCGTTCACTATTTCACTACTTCATATTTTGAACTATTTTCACAGACACACACACACACACACAAAAAAAAAAAAAAAACTACACCCAACGCACCTCCCAGATGTGGACAGAGCACAAGAAACGCACCTGAAGGCAGATTGCGCAGCCTGATGATTCACCGGCGGACTCATCCCGTTTCTCCACCGTGACCTCATGAGATGGAAGCCTTGCCAGCGATGCAGGCGAGAGGCCAATGGATGCAGTACGCCCAGGTCCAAACATCTCATATAGCTCGTCATAACTCATACCGTCGACATCAACCTGTAGAATTCAAATTCGATTTAACCAAATAAAAATTTCGAAATAAAAACAAACAAAGGGCAGGGAAAGAAAAAGACGAAGTGGGTGGGTGGGTGGCTATTCCAGGTGAAGGCGTATAGACTTCCGTAATTTCGGTTATTGTCTTTGGACTGTCCCAGGAAGAAAGACCTCGCACCATAAAAGCCCTGAGCGGACTGATTAAGCGCATACTGACACTCGTATTTTATCGACTGAACTCTGGATGTAATTGCCGCCAAATATATCCAGGGTCAGCTGCAATTACAGCCAATTCCTCGTCTGACTATGCTCCAAGACTGGGGAACTGTTGGGATCAAACAAAGCTAGGCATAATGACCGATGACACAACTAACCTGCACACACACACACACACACACACACACACAGAGAGAGAGAGAGAGAGAGAGAGAGNACACAGAGAGAGAGAGAGAGAGAGAGAGAGAGAGAGAGAGAGAGAGAGAGAGAGAGAGAGAGAGAGAGAGAGAGAGCTACTACAATCTGCTTTTCTCTTCTAGCACAGAAAAGAATGACATTTAAGATTTTCCCTAAAAGAAGACGTGCCTTGGCGCCCAAGTGACCGCCCAGAAACAATAAAACTTCAGCGACGACTCCTAAGTTACTCTAGAGGAATCCGACTGCTTGAAACCACTGGGACCAGGACAACGCTTTGGACTGAAACCAGGAACCAAGGAACAACCACATGGGACCATCGTTGGACTAGGGCAAGGACTTATGGACCATCGTTGGACCATCTTAATCCACCTTGGTCCATCTTAGTCGACCTTGGTTCAGCAAGTGCCAAGATGCACCAAGGTCGACTAAGATGCACCCAGGTTCAGTTACGTGAACGAGCCTAAGCCATTCGCCACCGGGCACAGAGATTGCTCAGGCCCAAGGACGACTGGGAATGAGGATTGGAAGAATTAGGGTTCACCATTGTGCTGCTAGAAGAACAGCTCGATCCATTTCCAGCTCTTATGGTCTGGGAGCAGAACTCGGCAGGAGAGAGAGACGTAACACAAAGAAACCACCATAGCTCAAGCCTGGGCAGAGGGCACTGCCACTAAGATCAGAGATGGCGACGATACGTTCAAGGGAGCGGCAGGAGAATTGCAATGACGAAAGAGCCAGAGTGACTCAGAAGCATAACCAGGGCCATGGACTTCATCAGCCAGGTACTTGGATTGCCCCAGATCCGGACAACATGTTAAGACCCGGAATGGATGGGATCGGGATGAGTCAAACCGATTCGTATGAATGGTGGAGCACTTGGGGCAGCCAGCAGCCATCATAGAGGACAAAAAGTTCAGGCAACATAAACCAATACAATTCAACCAAGGCATCATCACAATACGAGTTCGAAAAAGAAGAAAAAGAACGAGGAGGACGAGGGCAAGGAGAAAAGGAGAAAAAGAGAAAGAGAGAGAAGAAGTGAAAAAGAATGAGCAGCAGCAGGAGCGGGAGTGGAAGGAGGAAGAGAAGAGAACGAGAAGAGGAAGAGAAGAGGAGAAGGGGAGAAGGGGAGGGCGATGGGCGGGGAGGGGAGGGCAAGGGCGAGGGGGAGGGGGAGGAGAAAAGAAGAGGAGAAGAATGATCAGCAGCAGGAAGTGGAGGGTGCAGAGCGGAGAAGAAGAAGAAGAAGAAGAAGAAGGAGAGTACAAGAGAAGGTAGGATGAGCAGCGGCAGGATCAGCAGAAGAGGAAGAACACGAGAAGAACCATCATTCAAAGTTCGAAGAAAGGAATAAAATCACACTACCTGCCACACCCGACCACCAGGACCGATAATCTCATCTGCACTGAAAGGGTCTTGCATCATTCCCCCTAAATAATATTCGACCTGCACACATGCACAAGCACGCACCCACGCCAGTCACCACCAAGCAAAGGCTCACCGTAAGTGTTCAAGTGCTGGCTTTTCCGATCTGCTACACAAGCAAAGTTCGAGACGAGCAATTGACGGGGCCCTGCACAAGCAGTCGAGCATGCCGTTTAATTCGATACAACATGCAAAACCTTACCAGCCCTCGACATATATAAAAGAAACTCAAAGAAACTCCTACATAAAAGAAACTCCTATATAAAAGAAACTCCTCGTAAGAGACGTACTTGACCTCATACAGGTGCTGCATGGCTGTCATCAGCTCACGTCGTGAGATATGGGGTCCGGACACCGGACCCCCGCTCGTTCTCACATCCTTGACTTGCCATGTTACAAAAAAACAATGCAGGGAGGCCCACATGTTAAAGAAGCCTGAGGTCGAGTGTTAGGGTCACGTTTTGAAGTTTGAAGTTTGAAGTTTGAAGTTTGAACCCTTTCTTTTTTTTTTTTCGCTTTTGGTAAGCACAGTAGCTTAGAAATTCGGACCATTTGTCAATATTCATCCATGTCATCCTTGCACAGGGGCGATATGCTAATCTTCTTTCTGTGTATCGTTGCAATTTTAACGGATGCCAAGCTTTGTGAAACTGAGAAGTGGATCTCATCGTAGCACGGCAATGCGAGGGTCTATCATCGCAAGTTGAAAGAATAGGTTAGGCCAGGAACAGAACAGAGACCTGTCTCTAAAATGTAGAAATCTGTTTGTTTTCCTGCCAGCACGATACCTTGAGCATGCTGCTGGGGAGATATTGCTCTCTCTCTCTCTCTCTCTCTCTCTCTCTCTCTCTCTCTCTCTCTCTCTCTGTGTGTGTGTGTGTGTGTGTGTGTGTGTGTGTGTGTGNTGTGTGTGTGTGTGTGTGTGTGTGTGTGTGTGTGTGTGTGTGTGTGTGTGTGTGTGTGTGTGTGTTGTGTGCCCATTACTTTGGAGCAAGGAACTTACTCTTGAGGCAAGACTTGGTCTCGAGTTGCTTGCTGTCCTGGTCGAACGCCAAATTGACCTAGAAGCTTCCAGAGCCTCCACAGAAACCACTGCCCCAGCTACTGCTCCCAACCCAGCACTCCTAAAGAAGCCGCTGTCTGCCGCACGCCCAGCAAGTGCTCCTGCCACCGCTCCCGCACATGCTCCAACTGCAGGAATTGACAGGATGCAAAAATGTAATTTAAAATTAAAATTTAATTAAACAAGCATATACCCGCTGCAGACGCAGCAGGAATCATGAGAGGAGAAAAAAAAAAAAAAAACATGTGCAAACATCAGGCTCGTTTCTCTGCACAGCCAGGCAGCACCAAGCAGGCTAAGCAGCATTCAGTGGGCCGGCCAACATGGTGGTGCACCTGCCAGTCCCCCAAAAAGGAAGGCCGGCCCATATGACCGCACGGTGCATCGATGAACCGTTAAGGAGGGGTTGATGACAGTCATGTGTCTTCCCTGCGTGGGTGACGGCACGTGGCCGGATGGCCCCCCCCTCCCCCCCCCGCCCAAACACCAAAAAAAAAGCAGGGCCACCCATCAAGAAAACAAGTCCCACCAGCGGGGATTTAGTCTTCGCTTTCGACCATTTCTCAACATACGCAAGTGCACCCATCAAGAAAACAAGTCCCACCAGCCTAGACCCTTCTTGGGAAAAAAAAAAAGAAAAAAAAGCTGAAACCCTCGCTCCTACATACATCCCACTGCCTGGATGCATCCAACTGCAGCAATTATGCCAGCACGTGTGCCTTTCCTCCGTTCCGGGCAAACGGCCTCCCTCCACTACCCACCACGTGCACAAAAAACAAAAAATATGGCAGTGTATCTTTCCATGTTCTACCCAAAGATTCATTCTCATTTTGTACATTTGGCGAGTACAGGGAGCGAGGCCGTCGAAAGTGTCAGTTTGACGGCTTCCCTCCACAAATCACCAAATGTGCAAAATGGGAATGAATCTTCACCTGATACACAACCATATGTTTTGGCTTTTGTGCACGCCGTGAGTAGTGGAGTGAGGGTGTGAGTCGTGAGTAGTGGAGTGAGGGCATACTCACACGGGGACCTGAGGACCTGAAGTCCCAGAATTTGAGGCAGTTTTGAGGTCACATTGGAGAGGCCCGCTACCCAAATGTACTTTTCAGTGACCCTTTTGTCAGCAGCCTGCGGGGCTGCAGGAGGACCCCTTTTTGAAACCACCTCCAGAGATGGTCTCAAATGACCTTTTCGATTTTTCCTTCCTCCGTGAGGTATTTCCAGAAATTCGTGCAAGAGCAAAACATCCGTGCGGCGTGCGTGTTATTTCAGCATTCGAAAAAGAAAAAAGAAAAAACTCTAGATATTTTGGGTGTAACCAGTGTGACTACGTGCAGTTCTGTGAGGGAAAAATGTCAGGGCTGCGACTCTGTCCTTCGTGGACACAACTCATGTGTGACCGCACGGGCACCCAAGGCAAAATACATGGTCCCAAACGCCCCAGATATTTGTGACTTTAGGTTCCCGCGTGAGTATGCCCTGAGGCCGTCCAAAGTGCCAGTATGAACAACACGGTGATCCTCCAGACAGAGGGCCTCGCTCCACTAACCAAATGGCAAAATGAAACTGAATCTTCCACTAGAACATGGGAAGATACACCACCGTATTTTCTGTCGTTTGTGCATGTGGATAGGCAGTGGACCGAGGGCTGAATGTGAGCTCCTGCGGCTTGTTTCGCGCAGCTATGTAGTAGTATTAGAGCATGACCCGCGAATCAAAGGAGAACAACAAACGCGTGAAACAGCACAGACTATGAGGCTCACCACACAGGCTGTCGAAAACCAGGTTTTCGACAATTTTGCATCGCCACACAGACTTTCGAAGACTTGCGGCTCAAATTTTAAAAAGAATCTACAGGTGTCAGAATGGTACGCTCGACAGCCACCCTCCCCCATTCGTTTTCTCCCGCCGCCTGCAGGAGACGGAAATTCAAAAGTGCCCCACCTGCCTTTCGAAAATTGCTTTTGAATTTGCATTGGCATTGTCAGGGACTGTTCTGTGACGGTCGTGCCCTGTGGAAAGGCGGAGTCCATTTCGCCATATGACCAAAAACCTCGCTCCTCGACAGCCTGTGTGGCGAAGGGGGGGTAGACTGTCGACCGCCGACTTTCATTTTTTTTTCTGACAGCTGTGGCGAGCCTCTATGCGAAACGATGGACCACAAATCAAAGGAAAACGGCAACCAATGAAACAGCACAGACTATGGGGCTCGCCACACGGTCCTACAAACGAAACAAAACGAACAAAAAAGTTGTGACGGCACGCGAACCCCCCACCAGTCGTTTCGTCACGTTTTCGGTGCGACCGCCGCACAGCTCAGACGAAACGAGTGGCACGAAAGTGCTCGCGAATGCCGTGCATGACTCGTCAGTGCTGTGTGGCAGCATTGCCCTTTTTCGCGATCGTCTTCGAGGTCCCGGGAAGGGTCTCGCTATTGTTCCAGGACCTTCCGATTACGGGAGGCCCCTAGATACCGTGCAAGAACAGGTGGAAGTGCGTGTGGGTCTCAGCGTCGAGGCCTAACGCCCGTCAGTTGTCCGCATATCGACGGCTGGCGCAACCCATCCCCGATCCTCACCGCCTTCCGTGGCCCCGGCCTTAGGAAGCCTCCCCTCCCCGCCCCTCGGCAAGAAGAATACGAATTTTGAAATGGGCAGGGTGGTCCGACACGTGCGGTGAGTGCTGGTGGGTGCATCAGAAGCCGTAGGTTGTGGAAGTTTGATTTCGTCTTCGCCACCGCCAGTACGCCTCCAAGACCGGATCTCGTGGCACAGGAGAAGGGACGACGGAGGATAATGCTGCTTGTCGCTGCTGCGGTGATGGTTGCCATACGAGGGACGGAGGACATGGAGACCATAGCCGGACAGTTGTCCGTGGTTGTGTACCAGTTCTTGCAATCGACCAGCGAAACGGACGTTCTGCTTCTGACTTTGCTGGACTCTTCGTTCCTCGTCATGGCATTGGCAATGGCCACCATGTCAGGCCCCTCTCCGCAGCGGTGGTGGGTAAGGCGGAGAGCTGGTGGTGCGTGGAGAAATATGACTCGTGGGGACAACGCTGCAGAAGACTATTTTTTTGACAATATAAGGATGGGTGAGGAGGTGTTCCACGGACTTGTTGCAAACCTGGAGCCGTATCTGCAACGTGCTCATACGTGGTACAGGGCTCCTACTCCACCAGATCAGCTCGTGGCTTACGCGTTGTACCGCTGCACCACCGGTGAAAGCTCCGAACATTCGGCTGCTTCGTTTGGGATTGGACGGGAAACAGGGCGGATTGCGGCGCGGGATGTCACCATGGCGATCTTGCGAGCATACCCTCAGGAAATCCGGTTTCCAGAAGGCCAGCATCTCCTGGAAGCTTTTGCCAAGTTCGGGGTGAAAGGATTTCCCCGGTGCTATGGGGATATGCACACATTTTTATAGACAAGCCGGCCGGGGAGCCCGGCAGACCACACTGTGATCGCCACCGACACTTCTCGATTGTTGCACAGGTCGTTGTGGGCATGGATTTGAAAGTGTACGGCGTGTATGTGGGGTGGCCTGGCAGCGTGCACAACTCCAGGATCCTTGCCAACTCCTCGCTATGGCAGCATGTAGAGGATGGCACACTGTTTCGCGCAGGCCATTGGCATTGCCGGGCGGCTTGGAGACACGAGGGTACATACTCAGTAACAATGGGTACCCGAGCTTGCCATGGTTGGTAGTGCCGTAAAGAGGTCCGCAAGAGGAGGGTACAGACACAGAGATATTTGACACAGCACAAAAGGGTTGTCGTGGTTATGTTGAGCGAGCCTTCGGAAGGTTGCAAGGCATGTGGCATATGTTTTTGCGCACACACAAGCCTCATATCACCTCCCTCTCTCTTCAGTTCCGCGCGGTCTGCGTCATCCACAACCTGCTCATACTCTGCGGAGTTCGCATGGACCCTGCACTGAGACCGAGGAAAGTCCATGGCCACGAGGACGACGACATAGACGACAATGACACCCAACCAGCACCTCTTGATGAGATGACCAGGCAACAAGTGTGTGAAGCGGGGCGGTAGCGTGTGCGTGATTCGTTGAGCGAGGCGGTGTCAGCTCATGTGTGCGAGCAGTGTGCCCGTGCCCGTGCGGACAGGATCTAGAGCGGCCATGCTTATTTATCCGCTCTATTTTTAAAAACTTCCATGCATACATTTTTTTTGGTATCTTCGTTATTTTTAAAAAAACTCAGATACATGATGGCAGAAATATGCAGATACAGATATATATATATATAGAGAGAGAGAGAGAGGTGATTGCCGTTGTTGTGAACTGTCCATTACGATTTGGTATCATGTAACCAAGGAGGCCTTGCGGCCATTCATTTGTTGTGCTTCCAGAAACAAACACATCAAGGTTTTGTGTCGCCTGACAATTCGTGTGATTTACACACCTTGTTTTCACTCTTTCCATGCAACTATGCATTCGTTGCGGTCGTTTGCAGTCTTCTTGCCCCCCACGATTGTTTTTTTTTTTTTTTGGTCCCTTTATTCACTTGATGCTCCCTGTTGGCAACATGTTGCTGGTCACAAATTTGTGCAAGGAAAGCCTGTGCGCTGGACAACACCATTCTCCGGACACAACACCATCATCCGCACCGGAAAAAAAAAACACAACAACGAAAAAAAAGAATCCAAAAAAAAACAGTATGTGATGCACAAAAGTAACCTTAACAACTTTTGCCTCAGGGTCACATCGAAATTCCTTACCAAATTTGAAATAAAAAATAAAATCACAAAATTATTTATTTATTTATTTTTCGCCCGGCCAGGCAACTTGCCCCGGGCCAATCCGGCAGCCTAGAAAAAAAGCAAGTAAAAAAAACTACTCATTTTCTGAAAATCGCAGCGATGATACGAAGTACATGGGTTGGAGTTCAACCACGTCGGGCACATAGAGGAGGGGGAGGGGGGAGGGAGAGGGGGGGGG